TTATCATTTAAAAGAAAATATATTATGCTTTCGTATCAAGATAATTTAGCTAAGGAAAAAAATAGATTACTGATGTGATATATATATTAATTACGAAATATTTACCCATTGGTTCTTTTATCACTTTGTAATAATCTGGCGCTTCATTAGGATCTACTGGTTCCATAAATGGCCATGCACTTTTATGAGCCTAAAACAAATAAATTGTACATTTTGAATAATAGGTTTGAATGTTAATCCTCTCTTAAATTAAGATTTTTAATCTAATCCTGGCAAAGTGTTTTATTATTTCCAACAGAATATTTTATTTATTTTTTTCATCTCTATTTTATTTTAATGAATAATAAATAAAACAATCATAAATAATAAATTTATTTTAAATAATAATTTTTAATAACTACATAATTACTATATTTTAGAATCTTTATTGAAGATGTATTTTTCACTAGAATTAAAACAATTTATAGAAAGCATATCGATACTATTCTATAAATAAAGATAGTACATTACCTGTATTTGTTTAATTAATTTCTTCAACAGATCAAGATCTTTTGCGTTAAGGTTCTTCATATTAGCGAAGTTGACCGAAGAATTACGTTGACAATTTGGACAAACGTATTCGTCAATGTTGTCGGCTTCTGATTGAAGAATACCAACACATCGACCGTGGAACCAATCTTGGCATTTGTCACAACATATGTAAAATCTTAAAAAAGGATAAATGCGTTATTTTAAATGTATTAATTATATATGGTGTAATAGCGATCATACCAAGTACCAAGTTTCTTGAAAAATATACATTTTCTTGAAAAAAGTTTTAGGATTCTAAGTAGAGTATTTCATGTGAGTATGACCTTGAATAGCATTATCATGTAAAGATCACTTCGAAATTTTTTAACGGAAATTATCATTTTTTATTACATGTTTTTGTAATAAAAATGTCAAGAACTTTTTAAAACAAGTTGTATAATTTAATTTTCATTAAGAACTTTTTAAATTATAAGACTTGAAAATTACAGCATCGCCATTATTTTCCAAATTGTCAGATTGACAACTAAAACCTTCTGAATATTGTTTACAATCAGATCTTAACAACATATGTCAAGGTCAAGGCCACTGGAAATTGTTTTTCTTACTTTTATTTTTAACGTAAAAATGAATTTTTGGTGTAAATATAAGAAGAATAACTTCCAATGTCCTTGACCTCGATATATTGTTAATATCCTGACTACGAACAATATTTATAAAGTTTTATTCACCAGTTGGATACCTTATAGAATGCTAATGTCGGTAGTATTGTAACTTTCAAGTCTTATATCTGGAGAATTTTTAATACAAAATAACTTTATTATAAATTTTAAAAAGCTCTTAATGTCAGCTACAAGAATATGTAATATAAAATGGTAGTCCCCCGTTAAAAAATTTCAAGGTAATCTTTACGTGATCTTGATAATGTTATTCAAGAATATTATTCATATTCACACTACCATGAAATGCATCATTTAGAACCCTATAATAACTTTTGTCTGACATTTTTCAAGAAAATGCGTATTTTTCAAGAAATTAGTCTAGAAAGCCTAGAAAGCCTTTTCAAGAAATTCGCTCTGTTACTTGTATAATAAAAAATAGATAATTAGAAATATAAAATTAATTATATTAGTTATATAACTTTATATTAAATATTAGCATTGCATATCAACTACATTAAAAATACTAAGGCATGCATAAATAAATGTGTATATAATTAAAATAATATACTTAGAAAAAATTAACATTTATTTTATATATATATAT